CGGGAGGAAGTTGAAAGTCAAAGGAACTCGCTAGGCGGCAGCGGGGAAAACAGTTCGCACCAGTCTGTGGCGATATGCGGTGTGTTTGTTTTGCATATGTTGGGATATCTACATGGCATGGCCCAATGGCCCGAAGGGAAGAGTATAAAATCCGAATACTAAACGGGGGGTGAACTCCACTTCCATGTTAGTTCCAGGGAGTGTAATACCAAGTGTTGGTTCCTTCAATGAACATGAACACCGACTGTAAATTAATCAACAGGAGTGAGTTATCCAACTAAATCAACACAGGGAGATAGAGAAAGTCCCAGGTTAACTGCCGTCAATGCCCTTTGTTACTACGTAGTAGCTTCTTGTTATTAGTAGTATGGCCAGGAGCTACTAATAGTCGCATCCTGGCTCCATTCGTCACGTCTGCGATGCCCTTTGTGACGTTCCAAACGTCGCGTCCTTGTGACTCGATGTCCTGGAGGAACCCGTACCCCCGAATCGTTCCACATCGGACAGTCGCTCCGGACGGGTCGGACCCTGGAACTGACCGTCCCGTCCGGTGAGGCGTTTTGCAGCTGGAAAGGCGCTTGCTGGACATGGCAAGTGAAATGGAGGAGATGGAGACGAATGGGCCAACTCAAGCTTGATGAGTAGTATCTTGCGCCATCAAACATCATCGAATCTTCTTGTTCCTGTTCTTCAGGATTCTCACACACGCCAGAGAATCTGCCCGAGAACCCCGGAAAACACCAGCAGAGTCCACTTTGCTGAAAAAACACAAAAGCACATACTGTAATATAAGATGTTCAAGAGCCAACGTGGATGTCTGCACAATACAAAAGAAACCATCCAATACGTTTGCCCTTTTGCAACTGTCTCATTGTCCCCATCCCCCCATCACCTTGGTCGACAGACCTGGGCACCTGAACGACGCGTTCTGCGCGAGAAACGCGTGGGGTAGCGCTTGGCGAGCGCATGCCGCGCAACGGGCGTGTTCGCGAGGAGAAGAACAGCAGTATTGAGTCGGTGATTTTGGACTTGGCAAAGGAGCTGGTCACCGTAGCCCAAGAGGTGCACCACGGACCGCGGCACACGGTGGAGTCTTTTGGGTGAAAGCGCATGTTTGGGGGATGCGTGTTGAGCCTGGTTTTGCTCATGGGTGATGTTTATTCTTCCTAAGGGTGAATCCCCTTCTGCGGCTGTGTTTTTTCTCGGTTCCTGGACAGCAAATCCTTTGGCTGCACATGTACCATGGTACAGGCTTCGTTGAAACCACAGCTGCTTAGGTGCTTGTAGGAGGATGCCATACGATCTAAAACGAGTGCTGTGCATCGACTCAACCTTTGGCAGCATGTAGCGATATGTTCTTGGCGTCATGTTTGTTGCAAGGCTGCTTCTGTTGATGTCGAACTTTGGGATGACAATGACATGCGCATCTGCACATGTTTGCTTCAACCATTCCTGCCGTCTAGCATCAAACCGGCTTTCTTTGGTCTCCGATCATGTTACACCAACATGCAAAACATGCAAATTTACACAACACGAGGGTGGTCCCTCGCGCACTCACAGTACCTAATTAAAGTTGTGTGTCCAGCACTGATTGACAACCCTTACGCATGTTTGCAACTCCCTGGTGCAGAAAGGCAAAGACCAGATGCCACCCCCAACGACTCAACTGGTTGCTTTGGTTCCACAAGTTGTTTGTGGCATCGTGACCAATTCCGGAATGAATGTTATCGAGTATGGGTGGTCGTCGAGGGTGCGCCTGAAGCTCCCAAGGTTGAGGGTTGGTTTACCAGTTGGCTTGTAAGATGGCCTCCCTGGTGGTCCGTTCCTTTTCATTTTGGGTGGGGTACGTTTTGACGGCGTGAGATTCGTTGAGGCATGCACAAACGGGCCTTGCCCGTGACCCAAAGAAGCGGTCAGGTGGAGAATATTAATGGCCAAGGCGCAGCGGGCACAAGGGGGCAGGGTTCCAAGGCTCATTTCCTCAAGTACTAAGTATCTTGTCGTTTGATTAAGCAATATGTATAAAACATGTATTTCACATGTATTTCACAGCAGACTGCCGGATTTCTGGGTGTCTGCCTTGGCCTTGTGGCCTTGACAGCTCCTTGAGTCCAGCAAGAAGGTTCATTTGGGACAGCACGGCCATGTCTCAGATCCATCCAAAACACATCATGTGTTATAAAATAGCCACACTGACCCTCAAACAAATCCAAGAATCAATTTGTCGGATTTGGTTTTTCACACTCACAGGGAGGTGGGTGTTGAACCCATCAAGTCAACCCACTATTATTATGATTGGTCTAAACTTCCAAAAACTGAAGGTCAAATGGCCCAAAACAGTATGTCAACAGGACCAGGGGGTTATATTGTATTTTTTGGATGGCCCAACTAGACAACATCACCGGGTGGTGGCTTCGGCGATTTTCAACCTAGATCCCACGGACTCATATTATATGTTTTCCCTAGGGCTCCAACCACATCCCCAGAAGGTGGTTGGGGTGGGGGGAACTGGGGGGTCTAACCGCCTTCGGATATGGTTGGAGCCCTAGGGTTGGTTCGTGAGTTGAAACCACCAACCAGAAAACTGATCTTGCCCAAGTGGTTGAAGTGCTGTGCCCCATCAGTGGACACATTCTATCTCCCCAGGCGCCTTGGTGGAAGGACGCCTAGAGCGCTTGGAGACCTCGATGCACCTGGTCCGCAGCGAGTCGGCAGGGAGCCGTTCGTTCTCCTCAAAAAGCCTTCCGTTTGAACGATTTTTAACGTTTGCCGGCTGTTTGAAGGGTGTTTGGGATCCTGATCGTGTCGCTGATTCCCTTTCTTTGTCCACTGTTTCGTTCCCTCGCCCCAAGGTCTCCTTTCGCACCGAGCTTCAAGTTGGAGAACGAGGCGCGCGGATGTCCGCGCCGACCCCTCCGCGGAAGCACGGTGCACCGTCAGCGAGCATGGAGTTGTTTTGTGTTTTATTGTGGATGGTCACGGAAAAACATTAACCATCATTAACCACATTGGTTTTTCATGTTAGACCCCCAGATTTGGGGGTCTACTCTGTTTACCTGAGGTCCCTTGGAAGTAGTTGCAGGTATACGTGTCGTGGTTTAGTTTCTTTGGGATTCTATAATAAGTATTCTTAATTTTGATGGTTCCAATCATACTCATAGCTTCCTTCCAGACTTCCATAGTCCGGAGCTTCTGATGGGACGTACGTCTCATTCGCCATCCATCTCTGGTCGCTCTTCGTTTCTCAGCTCGTCTCGTCGCGGTCGCGAAGGCTCCGGTCACTGTGGACGACTGGAATGGAGGCCGCGGAGCGGTCGATGAAGAAAGCGGAGGAACGAGGACGAGACCTTAATACTTGTAATTGGGATGAAGCAACACCTTATAAGAAAAAACAAGCGAGTTTGTGGATGTCGATAGACCTATTGAATGAATTTGAA